TCATGGCCGCACAACGTGCCAATTTTACGACCAGCTTTTCCCCCATGTAAAAACGTATCATTGTGCGCATGCGTGACATTTCGGAGGACCGATGTGTTCACATTACAGTCAGATACAGGTCACTTGTGGTTATGAATGTGAACCGTCAAGATAGACAAATCTGATCTGAGCAAAAACTCGGAATTGAACAATGTGGCTGGCAGTGTGAACGTAGCCTATGTGACACTGATCGGCCGATCACTGATCAGGCTGAATATCGGCCCATTCCGATCGCTGGCCGATCGATCGGTGCATCCCTAGTTTATTTTAAACTACTACAAGAATTATCACTGTCATACCATCTAATCCAGGGGTGGCCAATCTTATCCGCAAAGGGCCGGTGTGTTTGCGGTTTTCGCTGCAACTCCCTAATTAGATTACTAATTAGAGGACTCATTGGCTGAAGAGTCCTCACACCTGGGTTTGAACAGCTGACCTACAGGTTATCCCAAAAACCTGCATACACACCAGCCCTTTGTGGATAAGATTGGCCACCCCTGATCTAATCACTGGCTGTGGTTCTGCTTTAACTAAATCTGTTATTCAGACACAGAACAGTGTTTGTAATGACCAGTATTAACAAGTCACAGATAATATTAGTTGTGAAATACAGAATACCATGTTACCATGAAACCATGATATTTTCTCAGATGGTTATCATACCATGAAAATCTCATACCTTGGCAACTCTAGTTTATTCACGGTCTAGTCCTGTTAACTGAACAGGCTGAGGTGGATTTTTAACAGGGTTTAAGAAAAAGGTTCACACTTGCTCTTTGCATTTATTTATGCATTAAAAGAAAAACACTCTGTTCCTCTGAACCAGTGGCTCTTCCAGGATGCGGGAGAGTACTCCCAGCAGGAAGCGCACGGCGTCCAGCCCCCAGGATGCAGACCTGGCTCCGCTCTCCACTTCGGATAAACGGGCACGTTGGCACTGAAGGGGCCGCAACAGAAACTCACGTTTTTCAATTAACTTTGGTGGCACAGCTGGCAAAAGGCGACTGAAATCTGTTTCTTAATCTGTACTATCATTAAAGCTTTTTGTTTTATGTATATTTTACACAAGTTTTCATTCTTGTAACTCATTGGCAAAGGTGACAAACCTGTCGAACGTTTTTGAAGTCCTTGCACGTTTGTGGAACATTATCAGGCACGAATGGATAGGACAGCTCTCTTCAATACCTGCTAAATCCAGTGTAACACCTGTCTTGCACTGCCTGCGTCCAAGTGCTTTACTGTATAAAGTTTGAAAGTATTAGTTTGAACAGGCAAGGCTGAAATATCTTTGTAACAGTGAAATGAAATGTTTTTCATTTAATTGTCATAAGGGGTGTTTTGTTTGAGAGAACTGCAGTGCTTTGGCAAATTCTTTTAAAGTTGTGTGTTGAGCGTTGTATTTTGACAGCACTCTCAAAAGCCGTATACTGTGGTATAACATGGGGAGTGTGACTGAATGAAAAGGTAAATACAGTGGTACCTCAGTTCTCGAACTCATTAGAACTCGAATTTCTTAAAAGTCGAACCAACCAGTTAGAAAAAAAATTACCTAGAACTCGATCTGAATCTCAGAAGTCAAACCATGAACGCCGACCTAAGATAAATTGCACGCGCGGGGAAATGAGTCACGCAGCGGAAACAAATGGTAAAGCTTCAGTCTCAGCCTCGCATTCGCTGTGATAGCATCGTGCACATTTACACTAGCTGAATACATATATTTGACAGTAAAAATACATTTAGACAATGATAGACAGTAACAGTAATTATTATATAATAAAATACATTTAAAAATAAAAATTTCTTATTTTAATATTAATAATAAACCATTAATACATTTAATTATAATAATATTGTTGGGCCGAGCGGGGATGGAACGGAGGCGCAGACATCAGGGTATAGGGGAATATGGGGTTTAATTACAGGTAAGGCAGGCACAACGCAGACGGACAATACAATGACCGGACTGGGAAAACAAACTGAAACGCGGACTAAATACAGAGGACTAATGACAACAACCAGAAACAGCTGATCACACGGGGATTCCACACGGGGTTAACGAGGGGGCGTGGCACACGGACGGAGCGGACGTTCGGGGCAGGACACATTGTTTTTTTTAACTTTACACATTGTTTGGATACATTTATTTTCTTGCTTTACAAATTACTGTTTTGATAAATGTGCTTAGATGTGTTTAGTACAGTATATGCTCTTGTTTTATCCGGTTTATTTTGTGTTTAAATGCTTAAAAACAAAAAAAAAAACGTTAGATGTGATTTTTTTGCGGCCGGGAACCAAATAATTGGTTTTCCATTATTTCTTACGGGGAAAATTCAATCACAACTCTAACTTTTTAGGATTCGATTTCGATCTGGAGTTCTGAACGGATTAAATTCGAGTTCTGAGGTACCACTGTACTTTGAGAAATTGGTTGAGGGTTTGCATACCCCACCATGTTCTCCACATACAGGTGAAAGCAAGCTTGAGGTCAAAGCACAGGATCAGCCATCAGCTCTGGTTGGTGCTAGGGGCCTTGGTCAAGGGCCCAATGCTGATATCACTCCAGAAGCCACAGGATTTGAACAAGCAGCCTTCTGATCACGGGCACAGCCCTAAACTACAGAGCCACACTGTTCCTGTTAGCGTTGCTGGTTGAACCCTCTTTGTGATTGTTGTCTTCCTTACCAGGAAAATATCCCTTTGTGGATAAGATTGGCCACCACTGATATAGAGGATCAGTTCAGTTA